AACAGGCTTCTGCACCCAATGCGCAGGTGCAGACAATTAGAGGGACGATGGCGAACGTAACGAGCGAGATGCAGCTTCCACCGAATTCGGTGAGATTCTTATTTATCTACCCGTTTGCCAGAAGAACAATGGAGGAGAAAATCCTGGTTAAAGAGTTGGGACCAGACAAGCCTGACCTTATCATCAACCAGCAGACTAAGGAAAAAAATAAAGTCTACAATAGGAGTTTTTGCAGGAGTTGGTTCGGGCGTAAAAAAGTAAACCTAGAATAGAATAGAATAAAATAGAATAGAAAATCCCTTTATTGTCCCATAATGGGGAAAATTCTAGTGTTACAGCAAAAGAAAGATATAAAAAAAAAAGTGGTAACACAAATGTTGACCTTGGACAAGTATATAAAAATAACATAATCGTAGAAAGGTAAAACAATAAATAAACAAATAACATTCTGTACTGTAAAATTATTTTGATAATATAAATACTTTGCACCAGGAGAATAAATAACCAATATACAGTTTTTGGCATTCATATAAATATACTGACGTGATAACTTAGTATATGTTTGATTGGTTGTTGTCATACATCTATTTTGAATTTATAGCCGCCCCTGGAGAAAACTCCACCAGCCACCATCTTTCACATGTGTTCTGACAAATAATAAACTGATTGCACATGTGTATAAAATCCTGTACAACAGTGGCTTTAAAAAAAATAATAATAAAAAAATTCTTCAGAGAAGACAAAGACGTTTTCAATTCCTTATGGAAAATGTTTATATTGTCCCACAGTGGGGGAAATTAACTCTCTGCATTTAACCCATCCCCTTGGGGAGCGGTGGGCTGCCACTGTGTGGCGCCTGGGGAGCAGTGTGGGGGTATAAGGGTTTGGCTCAGGGAGCCAGAGTGGAAGCTGTGGGGATCGGACCGGATACTTGCAACCTTCTCAGAGCACAAACGCACTGCTCTGACCACTAGGTCAGAGGTCACGGATTAGCAGAGCGCGGTCCGGATCCGGACCCACCTGCTGGCTAATCTGGGCCCAACCTGATTTGAAACATTTATAAATTACTGCACATTATCCAAAGACAGTGTCTAACTTAACTTGCGCGTCTTCTCCTGTTAAAGGTATACTATGCAACCGGTGTTTATTTTCCAGCGAGGCTCCCCCCAGAGGCCGAAAGTAAAAGTGCACTGTCGTAAATATGCTCAGCTGTTCTCCTGGTTTCTCCGTCAAGCCAGGCGCGGTTGTTTTGAGCTTAGCAGACAGGCGAACGCAACGAATCACCAGGTCTACTGCGCCATGATAACTGCACAAATATCGCCACTGCGCTAGCAACGAGCATGCCTTTCACTGGGGGCGTGTAGCAGTTCTCGCCGTAAAGGAAGACCGACTCTCGCGATGCACGAGACTTCTGAGCCTGTGGGTGCGGGCCGAGGGCTCCTGCAATTGCAAGTGCGGTATTTCCCCTACAGACCACCAGGGCGGCCGAGAAAACCTTTGTTCGACCTGAAATGACTCATTTAAATATCCAAAACGTTATGGAACACATTAATTAACTGAATAATGTTGCATAGTATGCCTTTAATACGGTAAAGCCCTGGGGAGCGTCCGGCTCCAGGCTGCACGTGATCCAAATGAGCCAATGAGCTGTCAGTCTGAGTTGCTGCTGCTGCTACTTTTAGACACAGCAGGCAAACCTGTGGCAAGCCGGGCGATGGGAAAGAAGGAGAAGACCATCAGAAAAAGAGAGCAGAGAAAGTTTGGACTGCTGGAAGAACTGCGGTGAACTGGTGAAAGAAAAGTGAAATGGCGTGCTCAAAGATGACCCTGCACATTTAGAGGATGTTTGGCTCAACCTGCTGCTGTGAAGCAGGATTCTCCACCATGAACAGAATCAAAAATCCCTTTACTAGATGGTGATTTTCTTTATTCAGACCTCACTGGTTTTATATTTGGTTACCCCTGCACTAGGCCAACACTCCCCAATCTTCTTAATCATACTTAAAGAGTAAATCTTTGTGTAATTTGATTCCCTGTAAATAAAGCTCCCACATAATCTAACAGGCTGACATGCAAAACGCTGTGAGTGTTGGAAAAATAACAGCGCATCTCACCCTGAGCAGGATATCCCAACCACACCTCAAAACACGTTGGTGACATCAGGAGGATTTTCTTTAGTAAACAGAGAAGCTGAGAGCAGAGAGGAATGTTCCGATCGCCATGCAAAGCTGCACGTCACCATGAAGAAAACATGCTGGTGAGGGGATGCTTTCCTACAGCAGAGATAGGGAAGCTACGCAGAGTTGATAAGGAAGATGGATGGAGCAAAAAAATGGTTACTTTTTCAGGGTTCCTACAGCATAAGGCAAGTTAAATTTAAGACTTTTTAATGCCACTTGAAATAAAAATTTAAGACAAAATTCACAAGAAAAACCTGCTTGCGACAACTTAACCCAAAGGTTTATTTTAACTTAAACCACTGCACTAATGTTTCAAATTTTGAAAAGCTTCCCATACAGGAAGAAAGCTAAAAACACACAAATGACAGATATATTTGAACAATTATTTAACTGAATTCACAAACTTTGTTTTAGCAGGGAACAAAACAAATCAGTTTTAAAGCCACAACATAACCAGTGCTAAGTCTTTTTTGCAGCTATTTTTCTTTGTATGGTTTTCTTAGTATGTTTGATTTGGTGATAAGTGGAGGCGTTGCAGAGACAAGGGTGGAACTAAACTGAGAAATACCGGCTGTTTGACTCCACTGCCTTAATTCCCATCGTTCTGAGCTTGAATGACTTCTTGCACTAAATCCACTGAGCCTCATGTATGTTCCCTTGTTTTAGCCATGGAGAAAACTCTTGGCTGGAGACAATTTTGGTTACAGTTACACTTGCTCATATTTTACAAACAAAAAGTTAATGGTGCAAAAACACCATATCAATCTCTTTTACTAATGAAATATTGCTATATGTCATCGTTATGCTACGAAATCCCTCGAAAATTCACGAAATTTATCCATATTTTTATATGTTGATATATTGACGCGGTATCGATCTATTTTACTAACAAAATCTCACAAGAATTTGCAAAATATCACAAGAGTTTGTAACAGAACGATGAAATTTCATGAGATTTCGAAAGTAAAATAGATCAATACCGCGTTTTTAAAAATCTATTTGATATCAGCATATGAAAATATATTTGAGTATATTATTTTTCAAAGTGTCAGAAATGGATAACAAAACTGCTATTTTCAATGACTACTTATTTTTGTCCAGCTTTAACGTCAGTATCGATATCGGTTATCGGCTACATGAGTTTTAAAATATCGGCATATCGGCCAAAATCCCAATATCGTGCATCCCTAGTTTACATTATGCTCTTTTCTATCTGGTGGGGCTTCACCTGGTTGGTTTTGTTTTTTAAATGCAATGTTAACAGAAACATAATCAAAGAACCTGCAGCCAAAACTAGAGTAAAAGGCATTTTAACAGATTAGCACAGAGGGGCAATCTAAGGGAAACTGGTCATACTTGTGTTTGTCTTATAAATAATGAATAAAACCTTTTAATACGACAGAAACCTTTCTTACATGCAGCAGGTAGATTGCAAAGACTAGGTTATGTGTCGATGCCAAACCCCCAAGGCGAAAGAACGAACACTAAACATTGATGGTGTGATGTGTTATGAGGGTTTGAGTCAAGGTTTGTTTGTTGCGACATCCCTATAGCGCTGCAGCGGTACATTATTTGGGTCAATGAAGTTCTTGGTAACAATAGATCAGACAAACATCATCTGGTATATTTGCACCAATATAAGACAGAATAGATTCAACTGTTCCTCTGCTTGTCTTTGTTATAGTATCTGTTGTAGGAACATTCCTCTTATCAGCAAGAGTCAGGAAGAGACTGTCAGCAGACTACACTTCCCTCCTTTGTTTATATACCCACAAGGTTTAATTCAACCATTTCCTTTAGTCAAACTTAAGCAGGCAGGGATTATTTTTATATTGAGCCAACAAGCCTGTTCTCTGCACAATCCTGAGGCAGGATGAGAAGAATAATAGTAACGACCCAACAGTGAAAGAAAACACTGCAATTAAAATCTATATTCATCTCAATGTCATATCTAGCCTGCTGTTCTGACCTCTTACACCTAAAAAAAATCTATCTATCTATCCATCAGTCATTACTAAAGAATCCTTCTCTAATCAAATACAGAGAGATACGTAGAGATATATAGCTGTTATAAAGGATTTCCTTTTATATGCGTCTGTTTTCATGACTACAATCGCTGAAAGAGATTTATGTGACAGATGTCTGGGTTAGGCTCCGTGCTAAAACATTGAGAGAGAAAACAAACACTCAGGAGGCCTGAGAAAAGGGGGCTGACATCTCCTCACAAGCTATCAGCCGCCACCGTATGCCTGCTCCCTTCTGTTCCCGGCGCTCGCTCTCCTGATTAATATTTCAGAGCAGAACCGTCTTCTGTGGGCTCTGCACATTGCCATGAAATCTTGCTTTAAAAAAAAAAGAAAAATGGAGACTGAAATTTATGATATGTGAGCTCGGCAGAAGCCTCTCTTTAAACAAACATGCATGTGAGTGATGCTTTGGTATGCATTGTCCATACGTTTGGGTCATATCTGTGTGAGGAAGTAATCTAACACGAAAAGGGCTGGCGGCTTCCCAGGGGAGCCAGTCGGATCTCAGTACAACTGCATGAGCTTAGTGCATTACGTGATCCAGATTCCCTGAAGCATGAGAGGCAAAAGCCCACGACAGAGAGATGAGCCAATTAACAGCCCACTGTGCTTTTAAAAGGAATCTATAACTCCTCTGTGGGTTAATAACTGCATCTGGCGTTTTTCTTTATGCACTGTTGGACTAATGATAGTTTAACTAAATTGATTTCATTCATAACAGTTGTTTGTTGCCCCAACTCCTGCATTTTTGTTGCGAACTTCTAAAAAGAGGCTCGGTGTGTTGCATGCCGACCTTTGAGCGGTGCACTTCTCCATCGTCGTCCTCGCCTCCAACTCCAAGTATCTTCCGGCTCTTTAGACGGCTTATCAGGTCCGTCTGACTGTGCTTCTTCATTAGGGGAGGATGAGATTTGGAGGCCATGGTACTCACCTGAAACAAAACAGAAAGAACGTGCAAAAGGTTAGCACAGTTGGAGGATAAAAAGGGAGGAGATGGCTTAGGAAGGAACTAGAATACCGATCTAGAAGTGAAGCCCTTGATAATCTGATTTGATAGAATTATATAATACAAATATGATCAATCTGGGAAACCCTCCGAAAACAAGGAAGAAGCAGGTGCCTGATGTCCTCTTACTCTGTATGCACAGAGAAAACGGATATGATGCGGTCACGCACACTCACATAAATACATACATGAATAAAAACCATTGGTCATGCAGAAAGGTTACATCATGTCCATGTTATGACCTCCACAGTGATGGGGAAGGCTGCTGACTCAACAACTGTCCAGCAGACAGATGCTGGCACACGTGGGGGAGGGGCACACAAAGGCACTGCCAAAGAAACTGGCTTTATATAGATTGGTGTTTTGGCATGTTAAGTAAGGAAGTGTGCAGAAAACGGTGCAAAACCAACAGAGATCATTTGGACCCTCTTTCAGAAAAAAAAAATCAAATTTGAAATTATGAAATTGACTTTTGAACATACAATTCTGAGATCAATTTGCATTTGAATTAGGGGTGGGTATTGGCAAAGAAGTCACGATTCAATTCGAATCACGATGCATCATGATACTTGAAATATTGCGATATTTTCCCTGAACACTGTAAGAAAAACATACAGCCCTTACCAGTGTGTGTGATCTGGATCGTGTCTTCAATTGATACATAACTGAAAGCAACTGAATTCATACATAGCTGTATTTATTGAAACGACTTTTGGAGGTGTTGCCATGAAAACAAATACTGGACAGAAATATTACTATTACTGGCGTGGACACACTGACAAAAAGATCTTAGGATTCATAAAACTTAAAATAACAAAATAAGGATAATCAGTGCCATTTACATGGCCTCAGTGGTCCTTTAAAGGTATACTATGCAACCGGTGTTGATTTTCCAGTGAGGCTCCCCCCAGAGGGCGAAAGTAAAAGTGCACTGTCGTAAATATGCTCAGCTGTTCTCCTGGTTTCTCCGTCAAGCCAGGCGCGGTTGTTTTGAGCTTAGCAGACAGGCGAACGCAACTAATCACCATGTCTACTGCGGTAAGTGACTATTTTGTTCCAATTTTCGAGTTTGAAAATTCTCGCTGGTTCTACCATGATAACTGCACAAATATCGCCACTGCGCTAGCAACGAGCATGCCTTTCACTGGGGGCGTGTAGCAGTTCTAAAGCAAGACCGACTCTCGCGATGCACGAGACTTCTGAGCCTGTGGGTGCGGGCCGAGGGCTCCTGCAATTGCAAGTACGGACCACCCTACAGACCACCAGGGCGGCCGAGAAAACCTTTGTTCGACCTGAAATGAATCATTTAATCATCCAAAACGTTATGGAACACATTAATTAACTGAAAAATGTTGCATACTATGCCTTTAAACCAATGAAACGAAAACATTCAAATGTATATTTCCCCTTTTGCAAATTACTTGCATCATATCAATTTCATTTTTACCTTTTTTGTTTTTAAAGTTAAAAATGCATCCAAGCATCTGACTAGAAATGTGATGGAGCCGCGGGGCGAATGTTCATAGTGTCCTCCATGTTTTATTTCATATGACTCGTCGCAGTATCCCGCGGCCGGACATGATTGTGACACAAAGCAGCGGGCGTCAACACATCCGCAGCGACATCTGCTGGACTGGAAGTTGTATTCCACTTGGTTCGGCTGATGTGTGCCGACCATTCATGTATTTTATTTGTTCTTTTTTTTTTTTATAATTCATTCTTGCCTTCAAGAATCGATGCAGTAGATCACAAAAATTAGAATCGAGATGCATCGTCATGACGATTATTTTGCACACCCTTAATTTGAATAGTGGTTTAATTTTGGCCTCAAATGTCTTGCATATTTTATATATATACTTACACTCTGGAATAAGCATTGTGTCATCATTTGAGCAATACTTCCAGGGTTTGACGCTAAGGATTTTTACCACTTGCCCTTTGGGCAAGTGACTTTCACATTTCATTTGCCCAGAAACAATTTTTACTTACCCAGTTTAATGTTTGATAAATAAAGTTCCTAATATTCATTTTTTTTTTATATATATATATATATATATCAATGAAACAAGTTTTTTTTTTTTTATGTTTTTTGTAATTCAGTATTTTTTAACTTTCCAGGTTCCTGGTGTGTATCTGCATGCGTCAGATAATGAACTCAAGCCTACATTACCGTGTTAACATGCTTTTCAATCCTTCCTGCACATTCTTTTCAAACTACACTTTGCTTTAAACTGTTGTGTGCTAGGAAAAATATAAATTGTAATGTTAAAGATCTAAAAAAAAAAAACTTGACAGGTTAGAAACTTACACTACTACTACTCACCAATTTAACCTGTTTAGCTCTATAACATTTAAATGCACCACTCCAATGTCTAAGAGAAAAAAAATTAATGAACATTTTTTAATGTATGACCACTGTACAGAAGAGTAACCTGACTCCGCCAGATGGATTTGCGCCGCATATCCATCTGGAAACCTTCCGTTGAAGTAATTTTGGGACGGGGCGAAAATACTGGTTAGCTGATTGGCCTATGTTGGTGATAGACGGGCCAAATAAACCAATCAGGTCTACGAAGCATATGACGTACTAACAGAGCGACGACGAAAACACAATCACAAGCCAGGCTACTCTTGCCAAAACCAGTCGGGAGAAGAGCAAAAACATCTTTTCCTCTGAGAAAAGCCTCCAGAGCAGTGTTTTGCTCTTCTTTCAGTGAAGAAATACTCTGTAATTCCAATAAAACTTGCTCGATAGCCACGCTAACGCTAGTTTCGTCGGCTGAAGCCGCCATGTTCTTTAGACTGAACTGTCCCGCTTCTCGTTGCGTCACACCTCAACCCGCCTCAAAGCCAACGCTGATTGGACGTTCGTTTGCTGAACGGCTCCAAATTTTCTTTAACGGAGTCTCCAGACTGATCTGCGAGTGAAACCTTGAAAGCTCGCGAGATCAGGATGGTCTCACGAGGCTAACAGAAAACTGCCATATGATAGAAATATTTACACTGTGCGCATACAATTATTATTATTATTTTCCTAATCCCTGACTGATCATTTTTAATCTAGCGTGTATTATAGTACAGATTAAATTCATCATCCAGCTGCTGCTCTGCAGAATTCTCTCCCCAAGAGCTGAATGACGCCATCTAGCGGAAAATCACTCGGCTTTTTCAAATCATGCGAGAATGTGTACAAAACAACAAAAATGGCGCCGGCAACGCTTATGGGTCGTTTTCAGCGAATGTCGGTGATTTTAAAGTAATTTTGAGTGATAAATAATTGTTTTTTTGAAACATTGCACTTGCCCGGCGGGCAAATGCCATAAAATTTGTACTCTCCCGACAATAAAAACTACTTGCCCCGGGCGATGGTTAACATCGAGCCCTGACTTCCATCATTTGCTGTATCTCAGCCTCTTGTTATCCTCATGCCAACATGTTGCTGGAACTAAACAGATTAAATCTCAGCTCAGAAGCTCCAATTCACAACAACAAAGTTTATTGCTTTTGAGTTCTGTGCTGCAAAAACCCATTTGAGTAGTTTGGGTTCTTTATTTAGTTTAATTTAATAGATAATTTCTTGGATGTTTGTTTCACTATAACCACCATGGCACCTTTGAGAAGCATAAACAGTGCCTTGGATTTAGCAGGTTCAAGCAATAGTTTCCCCAAGAGAGATCCCTGCTGACTCAATAAGCTGCATAATTAAAGGGAAGGCTAAAAGGCATGTGCCAACATGAGTGCACTGAAGCACACAAAGGGGCAGCCAAAAATTTATGACTACGCCACAGGGTAGTGGTGTGGAGTAGAAAAACAAGGGCAGTTATTGAACTTTACATCCAGGGATAAAGAGAATGTCAGAGTTTTCACCTCAGGAAAGAACAGATATAAAACAGTTTAATGAGGAGCTTCAATTCTCAATAAAATATTTGAATCAATTACAATTGAAAGTGGAAAACTTGCTACAGCTGCAATACCCACGATGAAGGAAAAAACAGGCAGAAAATCTTATAAGCAGGCTGGACATAATCAGGTTTCATCTGAGACTTTGTTCTCCATCCCTGCTGGCTGTGACCACATTCACATTTCCAAACTATGACAGCTCAAGTACTTTTCAATGTCAGCTTTATTTGAAAGGGCATAATGACTCAGTTTTAATAATGGACCCCAGAGATGGCTGTGAGTGTTACACAATGTTTGATTCGTCACATGACCCTCAGAAGAAACGTCCATTTTAAACGGAGAAGTCAAAATTACTAGAACAGATTTCCAAGCCTGGAGCACTTCAGTCAGAAATGCCTCTATTCATTCCAACAAAGCCATAGATTGGAGGTTCTACTTTTTCAAGATTAGAAATTTAATTGCTAGATGAGGTCAAAGGTCGAGAACAATTAAGAATAAGCACATTTCTTCTATTAAAATTGCACTCAACTTCTACAATAAATAGTGCTTAATGCCCACAGTTGTTAACCTGACTCCGCCAGATGGATTTGCTCCGCATATCCATCTGGAAACCTTCCGTTGAAGTAATTTTGGGAAGGGGCGAAAATACTGGTTAGCTGATTGGCCTATGTTGGTGATAGACGGGCCAAATAAACCAATCAGATCAACGAAGCATATGACGTACTAACAGAGCGACAACGAAAACACAATCACAAGCCAGGCTACTCTTGCCGAAACCAGTCGGGAGAAGAGCGAAAACATCTTTTCCTCTGAGAAAAGCCTCCAGAGCAGTGTTTTGCTCTTCTTTCAGTGAAGAAATACTCTGTAATTCCGATAAAACTTGCTCGATCGCCACGCTAACGCTAGTTTCATCGGCTGAAGCCGCCATGTTCTTTAGACTGAACTGTCGCGCTTCTCGTTGCGTCACACCTCAACCCGCCTCAAAGCCAACGCTGATTGGACGTTCGTTTGCTGAACGGCTCCAAATTTTCTTTAACGGAGAGTCTCCAGACTGATCTGCGAGTGAAACCTTGAAAGCTCGCGAGATCAGGATGGTCTCACGAGGCTAATAAAGTGCTGCTGGCGCGTCTTCCAACTCCTGTTCTTTCCCACTCGCCATACCCACACAATTCTCCACAACAACTGATTTTTTTCTGCTACACCCGGCTACGCTGCTCTGCTTTTTCTTCTTCTTGTTTAC